CGTTTATTGGATCTGATCAGAAGTAAAGTAGGTCTTATTAGGCTTATTTTAGGTCTGATTAGGTTGCTAAAAGTCTAATCAGGGGTTGGTAAGTCAATAGGGGTTGGCTTAGGTTTGATGATTAGGACTTTTAGGTGATTGACTAGGACTTAGGGTCATCTAATCAGGGGTTGGTCGACTATGGTTGGCTTAGGTCTGATTAGGGTCGTGTGATAGTCTAGTCGGGACCTTTGGTTGTCTAACTAGGGCTGTTAGGGTCTAGGTAGCACTTGGGTAGGTCTGATTAGGACTTTGTAAGGGAGCGGGTAGACTCGGGATCGTAGGACTGGTTAGGACTTTGTTGAGGGCCATGTAGACTCGGTGTTGTAGGTCTGATTAGACGTAATCAGGTCTGTGTAGCCTTAAGTTAGGTCTGGTTAGACGTAATCAGGTCTTAAGGTAGGCTGTGTTTCGAGTCTAATAGGTCGGTTAGGCAAAATTATGCCTAGGGTAAGTCCAATCAGGTTTGTGCGAGAGTCTAGGAGGTCGGTTAGGTAGAAATATACCTTGTGTTAAGTCCAATCAGGTCTGGTCTAGAGTGTGTTAGATCCGTTTAGGTAAGATGTACCTAGGGAGATGTCCGGTTAGACTTGGTTTAAGGTCCGCTAGATCGGTTTAGGTTGAGTGCCTAGGTTAAGTCCGGTCAGGTCGTGTTCTCTAGGTCTTGTAGGTCTGATTAGGTAGAGACGTACCTAGGTTTAGGACCGATAGACTTAGGGTTAGAGCGTGTTTAAGCACGGCTAGGTAGAAACATACCTAGGGTTAAGTCCTCTAGGGTTCGGTCTCATCCCTCGTGTCATGTTACATCACTTCTAGGGTCGGGGAAGTCACTTCCGGGTTGAGTCGGTTTCAGACTCAGGTTTTATCGTCTTAGGATGATGGAGCTAGATATTCTAGCTCGGTATACCCCGAAAAAGGGTATGGTGGAAGGACTAGGGGTCTCGCGCAAACCCGAGAAATCGGGTGCAGGAGTAGGCCAAGGACCAGTGGAGTGAGTTGTTCCGCGGGTAGGTAGGGACACTACAAGAAGGTGTTGTAGGTCCCGGATGATGAGGTAGGGAGAGTCCGAGGTAGAAGGACGTGTTGACCTCGGAGGAGTAACCGAAGTTGCTTCGGTTCTCGGTGGTAGGTCAGGAGGTGAGGTTTCCACATTTAGGTGGAGCTTCCTCGGGTAGGATGCTCAGGAGATGGTATGAGCAGGGAGGTGTCGGGTCACCGGGCAGAGTCGGTGTAGGTTGGAGCGCTAGGACACTCCCTCTCGAGGTGGAGCACGTGCACTCACGTGTCTCATTCTCTCGGTGGAGCAT